AAAAATAAGGCAAATTGCACTCTCGAAGAGAAACCTCGTATAACCACATGAGGGCACATAAATTCCTTTAAAAGCTAGGCCCTTTAAATAAAGCTCTCACAAATATGCATAAGAGGTAAACATAACCCAAGATCTTTTTGCACAAAAGCTAGGTCCTAAGCTCTCACAAATATGCATAAGAGGTAAACACAACCTAAAATATTTTTGTACAAAAGCTAGGTCCCTTTAAATAAAGCTCTCATAAATATGCATATAAGGTAAGCATAACATAATTTTTTTTTTCACAATCCTTAGTGTTTAAAGCGCAAGTTTTACCAATCCAACTAACCTTTAGGTCTCAATCCGAAACCTTGCACTGTCGTCTTTCTAAATTCTCCGGCGAACTCTGGCTACTGTAAACTGTCCTCTGTTCTCTCTCTGCCTCCACTGTCGTGAATAGGGTTCTAAAACCCTAGGCAGAACTTAATACATACATTTATAGGCCACCCTTAAACCTAAGCCTAAGTGTACTATGAGACGGAGAACTAAGTCGGCTACAACGTGAAAAAAAAATAAAACAAAACCCTAAATTTCAATTAACGCATTTAACTTACTCACACAATTACGCCAATGAAAAAAAATACCAATAATCTAATTAACGTAATTACAGAAAAATAAAATACAATTTAACAATTAATTAATTCACATAAACACCATTAAATAAAGCAATTCACTTAAATAAAACAAGTTGTCAATTAATGCAAATAAACACGCCAATAAACAATTAAACAATTAAAAATGCAATTTAAACAATAAATTAAATACCAGAACTATCCTTTTGAAATTAGGGGTACTACAATAGGGTTATATTGAGGGTGTCGAACCTTAAGGACAGTGGTGAATTATTATAAAATTAATCCTAATTTAATTCAAGAGAGATGATTTTATTATTTTCTATTTCTAAATTGCAATAAAACGAAAAATAAACTAAATTAACAAATGGTGAGATCAAATTGAGAAGAATTTAGGGATTGAATTCGCTATTAGCCTCGTAACACGGCCAATTGCTTCAACTATAGGGACTTCGATGTTTATGTATACTCAGAAATTGAATGACTATAAGTACATTATAATTCAATTTCAAGAGGATAAATTATGGATTAACATTAAGCAATAATCTATCTCCGGTTGACACGAATTGTCTACCTAAGTACTCTAATCTATAGTGCGGTACAACTCGTCTTCCCTAAGCATAAATTATCAAAACATTTATTCACAATTCAATTAAACACTATTGCATGATCACTACTTAAACCGTTAAGAGAAGCCCTTGCCCTTAACCACTAATCTCTCACAATAAAAATAGTTTAAGTTTGATTAAAGCAAAATTAATTTTAAGACAAGAGATCAATTTCATCAAAAACCAATTATATTCATTGAAAACCTAATTGCTTATGAATACTAAGTCAATTCCTCACAAACATGCAATCAATATACATAAAATTATAAAATCTCCAAAGTTAGGAATAATCAAACCATGTTACTTGGACTAGGAATACTTTAGCTACTCATGGAGAGGAAGAATATCATCATTATTGGTATAGAAGGCATCCCCATGGACCGCCAAGTAGAATCTTCAATCTTCAAAACCCTAAAAGCCGCCACAAGGTAAGAAAACCAAGAGAGAGAAGAAGCTGATGTGTAGTTTATTTTACCACTCGCAATAGTGCGAATCCTTTGCAGGATAGGGCTACTTAGAGGGTGTCGAACCTCAGGGCTTATGGCGGTTTATCAAGTTTTCAATTAATATTATTTTAATTCAGGAGAATGATTTGTTTTTTATGTGTTGTGATTCAATATCATAAAACAAAATTAAACTAATTAGAAGATTGAGATTAGGGAGAAAAGATATTAGGGATTGGCTTCACCACGAACCTCATACCATGGTCAACTGTTCAACATTGGGATTTTAACACTTATGTATAATACGGAATTAAATTCAATAACATTCGTTTAATTCAATTTAAAGAAGATGATTCATGAATTTCAGTTAATAATAACCTATCTTCGGTTGGCACGAATTATCTACCTACCCATTTCTAACTAATGTTGCAATATAATTCGTCTTCCCTAGGCATAGACTATGAAAACATTTGAATACCATTGCATAATCTCTATTCTTATTGTCTGAGAAGTCCTTAGCTGTTAATCTCACACAATAAAAATAGGTAAAATATAGTTTAATAAGAATCAAATCTAAGACAAGGTATTGATTTCTCAAAAACTAATTTATTTCATTAAAATCCCAATTGCTTAGAATATCTAAGTTAGTTGCTCAATATCATGCAATCAAAATACATAAACAGTTAAAATCCTAAAATATAGAACAATCAAATCATAGTAATCGGATTCGAGTTACATCAATGTCCTAAAAGAGGATTTAGCTACTAATGACGATAAAAGATATCTTCTGTGTTGTTGTAGACTTCATCATCATGGACCACACTTCTCTTCTGAGGATCTTCACTTTCAATGTTTCAGAGAAAACCAGAAACCCTAAAAGTCGCCACTAGATTTTAGACTAAAACAAGAGAGAGTAAGAAAAGTAAACGAGAGAACTTTTCCGTGGCCTTGTGCATCATTTTATAGAAACAACTAACTTCTATCACTGGTTGGATGGGCTTTAGGTCTTCTGGGGTCATCTGGGCCCGTTTAGAACTTATTAGGACTTAATTAGAATTAATCCCACAATTAAAAAGTGTGACTAAAGGGAAAAGGCTCGAGCAGAAAAACTTTTGCTTGAGCTTTTTGGCTGGTGCTCAAGCCTTTTGGGAAATGCTTGAGCAAGAATTATATACTTATGTATTTTTTTTCACTTTATTTTCGAAGCGTCTTTTTCATCAATACTTAGAATATTTTGGAACTTCTTTTTCAGGGTGTTCGATCACCTTGGCCTAGGTGCTCGAGCCTTTTGCGTTCTTCTTGAACCTTTTGGATGGTGCTCTAGCTCTGGCAACTTAGAACCTCTAAAGCATCTTTTTATCTTCCAATGGAGTTTATGCTCGACCTTCTATGCAAAGGCTCGATCATCTTGGAATTCTGCTCGAGCAGGAAAATGTCTGCTCGAGCCTTTTTGCCTTAATTGTTTTTCTTGCTTCAGTGAACTTGTGCTCTAGCTAGGAACTCTGTGCTCGAGCTTTTGTACTTGAATTTCTCTAGAATCACCATTTGGACTCCAAGTTTGCTTCAGATGACCAAGGATAACTCTGTAAGCTTCGATATCATTTTTTAAGTCTCCAGAATCCCAATTTTATCCTTTTTCTTTTGGAAAATCCTTACAAAAGCAAATAAACTAAAATCAATCTAAAATTGGATAGAAGTATCACTTAGAGTCTTAACATACGCACGTTAAGGGCTTGAATATGCAACATTTAGCGCTCATCAGAAGTAGCTTCAATGTGTCTTCTCATCTTCTTTTATAGTGGATAATAAGTCATAATCCCCTTTGGATGGGCTTTACAACTTTTGGAGTCATTTGGGCCGTCTGAAACCAAAAAGAGTGATTTCACAACTTTCCTGCATGTGTTTTTAATTCCTAGAGTGATAATGCTGAAACACTAATGTTAGTGCTCGAGCACTACTTCAAATTATTTTTCAAAACGTCTTTTTACTCAACAATTAGTATTTTTATTTTTTATTTTTGCAATTTTTCCTTATAGTGTTCGAGTCCTATGTGCATAATGCTCGAGCAGTAAGCCTTATAAGGTTGTGCTCGAGCACTACTCCTCAAATATCCACATATCTTGCTCGGATGACCCCTAACCCGGAAGATCCAAAACACCTCCAAATGCTTCGAGAACATTGATTCATACTTCATAACCATGGGTTTATCTTCTTATTCGGGAAACGACCTACGAAAGGCAAATAATCAAGAATAAGTATAAAACTAAGATAAAAGCACCGCTAAGGCATTAACTTATGCGCGTTTAAGGGCTTGAATATGAAATCTTCATCGCTTATCAGTGACCTTACGTCGGAGGGGTGAAAGAGAACCAAGCTTTGCACCAAACTGCAAAATCATGAACCAAGCTTTGCACCCAAGTGAGATGGTAAAAGAATTGGGTTTGATTTGGGGTTCTTCGTGGTTCGATTATGTTTGTCATAGGTTCGATTGAGATCGAGTGGAAAAAGTGTTTCGGATGGCAGTTATGTGTGTGTGTGTGAGTGGGGGGGGGGGGGGGGATTGGGGTTTGAGAGGTAATGTATATAAATGTTTATGTATACAATTCGGGTTCGATTTGGAGTTCCTCGTGGTGGTGCCACCGCGACATGTTTCTGGGGTAGGGATGGTGGTTGGTGGTGGGGACACCCCTTTATATATCTATCATCAATTTTTTCTTTTGTTTGTTGTAAAATGATGTTTAGTTTGGTCATTTAACATATTTGATACATTTTAATGTAAATTAATTAAATAATAAAAGGGTAATTAGGACACTTCAAATGATAGGGGTATCATTGTCCAAAAACACGTTGACTAACATTAACAAATACCTCACGTGCAATTAATCCAAAAAAGAAATACATATGTATACCTGTAGTAAATATATGTTACTAATATATATATATATATATAGACACACACACATACATATGTTACTAATTATGGAGAGGGCCTTGGTTCTAATATGTTCAGAATTCGACTCCCCAAAGTTTAATTATAATCTCGGACTAACTTGGTGCTATAGCTACGGGGGCAAGCGGCAGTATCCCAACTTGTTATCTTGGTGTGGATCCAAAAGGCCCTGCCCAAGGAATTTTTGGATAATAAATAAATAAATTGGAAACCCACCTCAAAGTCATTTTAATCAATAATTAAAAAAAAAAAAGAAGAAGTATATTTTAGAGATTTTATATTTAAAAATATTATTTTTTAAAAAAAAAAGAAGTACTGTAATTTACATTGATAAAAAATGGATATGTTTGTGGGCCGCGAATTCTCTGAAGTCTGAAGATATTTCCCATGCGGTCCGCGCGGTAGTGTTATTCAGGTGTAGAAATAGAATATTGAATAGAGTTGGTACTTATTGTAAACAGAAGGCAATTTGGTGCCGGGAGAGTGACACGGTGGTAGAGTTACAAGGAAGAATGTGATGATATTTATATGATTTAATCGAGGTTATGTCCAGAGAGATGAATGGAAGGAGAAACACAATATTCATGTTGCTGCTTACTGTAAACCCATAAATATGTGTATATATCTATAAACTTGTACAAGTGTGATTGGGTTAACAGGAGTCACAGGAGCAATGGCAATTAGCCAAATCTCGATGCATCTGGAGCCGTGGTGTGACTTGAACGGCAAGGTGGTGATGGTGACCGGTGCGTCCTCAGGCATCGGCAGGGATTTCTGTCTCGATCTCGCCAAAGCCGGCTGCAAGGTCATCGCGGCCGCCAGACGGATCGAACGCCTTAAATCTCTGTGCGACCAGATCAACCAATTTACTTTATCTCGCGATCCCAACTCCACCACTCTACCAGCCATGCCTGTTGAGCTCGACGTCAGCGCCGATGCTACCACCGTCGAAGCCTCTGTTCAGACAGCTTGGGACGCATTTGGGCGTATCGATGCTTTGATCAATAACGCTGGTGTTAGAGGTATTTATTTTATTAGTTCAGATTTGGATTCTCTTTATTTTATTCTATTTAATTTGTGTACCGTTTGATTACTGAAATAACTGAGGGAAAGACAAGAAAATCAACTCGAAATTTCAATCTCATGTGTTGTGTTGTCTTAGTTTCAGGAAAATGAAAAAAATCATCCAAACCAAAGTCAACATTTCTCGTGTAATAAACCCAGTCGAATGTAGGTTATTTTATTTATCCGATACCAAAGGATGAAATTCTAATATTTTTAGAGTAACATTTTAATTTCTATTGTATGTCTAAACCTTTTTTGCCACCAATCAATCACAGCGTTTCTCTTACCGTTGTTTCTGTGATTATGTGAGCTCGTTGTATGTTGGCCCTTTTTTATTCGGTTGTCTTATTCAATAGACGTGTATATATATTGCCATGTTTTTGCTTTGTTTGAGCCCTACACTTTTAGGACTCAATGTGTAGCTCGTATCGTGTCCATGTCTTGCTTTTGTGTCAGTATTACTTAGTTTTCAAGTATCCATCCTTTGTAAATGTAAGGCGTCTGAAATATTTGTATGTCACTATTATAAGATCAAGGGTTTAAATGTGGTGATTTGGATGTTTTCTCTGCCGATTGAATGTCCTTGAAGGTTGGCATGGGAAATAAGTCAGCTATAGGAAGCTGGTACAGGATAGCAGCGCCTATCTGGTGTATTAAGAAGAAAAGGTGCTGAAGAAATTTTAAGAGGTGGAGCTTGTGATGGATATGCTAGTAACGAGGTTCACGGTTTTTGTTTCTTTGGTTTTTGGAAAAGTATTGTGTTTTTTCCTATTCCTCAAAATTTTTAAATTTTTTTGGCGAATTTATTGTACGAGATGAAATTGATGAGTTCTCTGTCTTAATATTGTTGATTCCCTTCCTCTATTCCTTTCTTAGATCAATGCTTTGTGTTACTTGGATTACACCACCTCTATTACTCATTTTGGATAATATAGTTGTACTATTAAGTAAGAAAATTAAGACATACATCTTTTCATCTGTAGGTTATAACCCTTGAGATTTATTTTATGAGATTTTGTCCATGGAAAAAAGAACAGAATCAGTGGTAAAGAAATGTTATATTATAGAATTCAAACTGAAAGCATTTGTTTAAGCTAACCGCGGGACAATTTCCAAGATGGTGTACGTAATGTGTGATGACGTCCACTTTAGAGATGACTGATCTGGTTCGAATTTGAGGCACTGCAAGAACATGAGAAAGCAAGTAGAAAAAGTATATTATACCAAGTGAATTGTAGGAGATATAGTTTTAGATGGTGTGAAATGGCAAGACAGGCTTCACATAGGCGACCCCAAATGGTTGGAATGCCACATTGTTGAGTTTACTTGAGTTAGGTTTTGTTGCCTCAGATTCTCTTGTTTTAACTAGTTCCCTGATTCTTTCTGTTATATTTGGTGTTATTTTTCTTATTGGAAACTGAATGGTTGCATAGAAAACTTAAGAAAATAGAAAGAATGATGGATGGGGTACCCCTGTAGGAGATATAGTTTTAGATGGTGTGAAATGGCAGGACAGCTTCACAAAGACGACGCCAAATGGTTGGAAGTTGGAACGTCGCATTGTTGAGTTGACTTAGTTCTGATTCTCTCTGTTATACTTGGTGTAATTTTTCTTATTGTAACATTAAAAGCTTAAGAAAATAGAAAGAATGAAGGATGGGGTACCCTTCCAAGAAACCAAAAATCATTTTCAATTTTATTATTAATTTTTTTTTTCAAATGGTATAATCTGTGGGCCCTTTCAAAGTTTTCGTTGTCAATTAACATCAAAAGCAGCTTAATGTTTGTGTGCATGATCCTGTAAAATGGTTAAGCTTGGACCATGTTCTGACGCAAGTATTTGACTGATTTCCAAAAAACAGGGCCTACATTTCTCATGGTAGCTGTTTATTATCCAATTTGCTTTATGCTGTGGATGGTCTCTTTTGATGTTCCTCTTAGGGGCGGATCCAGGAAGTTACGTTTGGGGGCCAAAACTAATAGTATGAATATAAATTTTAAAAACATTGAAAATTATGATATATGTTTGTTTCACATTAGAAATCCTAACATATATTTTTAATGTAAAAGAAGATCTAAGATAAAATTGCTTACAAATACAAAATATTTGAATTCATTAAGTGCATTCAAAAATATGTCTAGTGAATTTTTACATAGACATGTACAAAATTGCCAAAAAAAATTAACCTTATCATATATCCCATATATCCAACCAAGACAGGCTTTCTAAATTTCTATGCAAATAGGTTTTAGGCAGGTTCTTTTTAAAATGGATTCTCATCATTGTACAAATGGAAGGGGGCTGATTTCAAATTCAATGGTCTTGACGATAGTACAGTATTGCTCAATCAATTTGAAGGCTACTCTTTGCATTGGATTCATAGCGAAGCAAATAACTTGGCTCATAGGGTTTGTAGATCCTTTAAGGCGTAATTTATTTGCTTCTTGATCAATAAATTATATTTTGCCGGGAAAAAAAGTAATAATCAATTATGACATGGGCATTCGGATGGAGGTTTTATGTACAATGGATATTTGGATGGGCTAAGTTTTAGTGAGATTTCTTAAGCCCCCTGATCCCTCTTACAGTCTCATTTGTTGTGTATTAGCCCTTTGCTTGGATTCCTAGTTTTCTTTTTGTTGCAAGTCATAGGATCATAATATTAGACAAAATCCATACTTACTCCATTAAAATTTGTGATAAAATCTCCATAATTTTTAATAAATTATATATCTGAACCCATTTGTGGGCCTTCGGAATTCAGTTTTCTTTCCTTTTTTGTATTTTAGTATGAACTTTAAATTCAGTATGAACTTTAAATCCACTTACAGAAGTGTTAAGATTTATGACTTTAACATTATTGTATTTTTTTTTCTATGTTATGTGGTTTTGTGATGTGGAGATCTTTATAGTCCTCAGAGGTCTATCATCGATTAGTATGCTATTCATTGAGTAATTAAAAACTAGACTGCGTATATGTTATACTATATATGTTTCCTGTTTTACATTTACAATATCAGTTTAAGCTTATTTAATGCTGTTGTTTATCTTAGGTGGCGTGCATTCTCTGCTGGATTTATCTGAAGAAGAATGGAATAATACTTTCAAAACAAACTTAACAGGTTCATGGTTGGTGTCAAAATATGTTTGCATACGCATGCGTGATGCTAATATTGGAGGATCGATTATCAATATTTCTTCTATTGCTGGTCTTTACTATGCGGGGCAGAAACCTGGAAGTATTGCTTATTCTTCTTCAAAGGCAGGTGTAAATGCCATGACAAAGGTAATATCACTTCAATATTTTCAGATTTGAGATTATAATATTTTATGTGGTTTGCAATTAACATACATGATACATCATAATGTAAGTACTACAATATGTTCCAGGTGAAGTCATGTTATTTGGATTTTATGTGGAGTCTTTAGTAGGTCAAGAATAGTTTTAGTTGTAAAACTCAGAAAATACTTAGCTGCTTACAAATATTTATGTACCTTTCTGTTCAATGGAGTTTTATTTGGAGGATTTTAGATTGTTTGATATGTTGTGATGCAACTGTACCTTGGAGGGTGATTCCTAAGGAATTCTTGGTGGGGTTCTTTGGTTCTTTTATTCTCTTGGAAAATTGTTAATGGATAACCATTCACAGCCCTAGAATGACCTGTTTCATCATTAAACCCCAATTCTATAACTCAACAAAGCATTTTCCGAACTATTGAGGGACCAAAACAAAACCGATCCTATCCGGCTCTGATATAATATAGCTGTTTTCCTTCACCATGACCAAAACAAAACCTAGCCTATGATTCCTATCCAGCTCTAATATAATATAGATGTCCTTCATTCAATTCATCGCCCAAACAACAGAAGGTGGTTGCTGTCCAGAATTTTCAGCAGTCTGCAACCCAATATCCGATAAAGTCTACTATAATAAGATAGGTTGGATTCCTGTACATGCCTCTATTCGTGCCTCATGCTTCTTGTAAAAATTTTCTAATGTTGGCCTGTTGATGTTCTGTTTATCTTTTTCTAGCATTTTGCAATGCCATATTTTTCTTTTTCTTAGTATAATTAACCGGTTTCCCATAAATAATTGCTTCATTTCTTTGTTTACTGTACTGTTCTGAATTCGGTACTTAAAGAATGAATTTTTGGTCTTATTCAAATGGATGATAATAATAACAGGTGATGGCCATAGAATTGGCACAGCACAGAATCAGAGTAAACGCAGTGGCACCAGGACTTTTCAGATCTGAGATCACCGAGGGTCTCATGCAAAAGGAATGGCTGAATAATGTGGCTTTTAAAAGCGTACCTTTAAGAACTTATGGCACAGCAAACCCTGCACTGACGTCAATTGTACGTTACCTAGTCCATGACTCTTCAGAGTATGTTTCGGGCAACATTTTTACTGTTGATGCAGGTTCCATCTTACCAGGAGTCCCTATTTTCTCATCACTCTGAATCTCAAGGGAAAGACTCCATGAAGTTTGAATTTAGTGATTTGAGTATTGAATTTGGTTGAGGAAGAAGGGGATAGATGAGACAGAGAGAGAAAATTTCTTCAAATTTTAATGTCGGTAGGGTTATTATAATTTATGTTCTTAGTCCATTTTTTTTTTTTGGAAGAACAGTATCATCATTTTCTGTAATTATTTGTAATTTAATTCTTGGTCGCACAACCATTGCTAGCATTTATCTTATTAAATGGAATGAACAAGTATCACAGTACATTATTTACTCATGGTTGATTGTGTGCATATGTGAGGATTAGTCTGGACCCAAAATGGGTTGAAAGGAAAATGTTTTGGAGCTTGAACTCTGAAACAGAATGTGAAAGATAAGTTATTTACTAATCTATTCTTCACTACTTTTAAAGTGTGTAGATTTTTTCTTTTTTATATATAATATTTATTTATTTATTATTATTATTATTTGCCTTTTTCTTTTTGGGTTTATAGTCCAAGAAGTTGGGTAGCCCATCACTTTTATGCATTTACTAGTTTTATAATTTACATTACACCTCTTGGATTGCATACGGAATATAATATTGAATAGGATGAAATTACTATCAAGTTTGATAAAAAAATCTTAAAGGGTAAACATAATGTGAAATTGAAGTTGGAACTTTATTTATTTGTTTGGATAAATGAATGAATTTGATATTAGGCATGAAATTGGAGTCTTGTAATTAGAATTGTGGAATTGAAGAAAAGCTTAGTTTAAAATTACTAAAATTTAAATTATTATTTTCATCCAATTTTACCAATTTCAATTCTAAACAGACAAACATAATCTTAAGAAATTTGAATGTACATTACCTATTTGAAATGAATTTCAATTTTCAAACAACTATTTATACAATTACACCTTGTTATTTAAAATTCATATACACGATTATCTTTTATATTCATTCATTTGAAATCTTCTCAAATTCATTAATTTTTATTCCTTCCACAATTGAACTTAAATCCATTCATTTGAAATCTTTCAATGCTGGTATTGTGTTCAAATCCCAAGGGTGTAAAAAAAACCATCTCTTTTGGGTATATCTGGTACTCATAGTTTGGGATTGGGAGTGATTGTGGGTATGCCATTCATTATTAAAAATTAAAATAAAATTTATATAAGTTGTATGAATTTCATACCGTAGAGCTGACAAATTCAATATAAAATTTCAGGAGTTTTACAATCCCATTTTGTTCCTAGAAAAATATGAAATACTTATATTAAAGTCACCATCCTTGGCAACATACCTTTTTGGAGTCAATTTTGTTATTTCACACCACTTGGATATTTAGAGATGAATGAAAATGCTAAAAAAAATAACATGTTCAAAATTTTAATAGCCGTTATAATAATAATAAATGAAAATATTTCCCTCAAAATTATAATAAATTAAAATCTTGATTCTATGTAATGATGTTGCTAATTCGTAAAATCTGTTAGGAACCAAAAATATATATATATATATAAAGAGAAAGGGTAAAATCTGTTTTGTGTTCTGTAATATTTTAGTTTTTGTTTATGTTTTATTCTTGGCTCCATATCTCTTTATTACTATTATTTTAATTAGAAATTTAGACAAGAACCATTTTGAAGAATTTACTGTGAAAAAAGAATCATAGGTCATATTTAGTATTTACCATCCAAAGTTCTTTAACGATATAGTTTTGAAATTAATAATCTTATAATTTCCAAGTGGAAAAACAGTAGGTGAAAGTAAGGGTGCACATGATTCGGTTTGGTCCGGTTTTGTAGATTTTTAAAACCAAAATGCTCCTTACGGTTCCAGATATTTTGGAACCAAACCAGACCATTTGAGCCATGGAACCAAACTAGTTCAAACTGTGAAAAAACTGTTTGGTGCGATTCGGTTACACGGTTCTAGTTGAATTTTATTTCCCTTGAATTGTATATAAAACAAAAAAATAAAATAAAAACATTCACATTCCCGAATCCAAGACTAAAATATAGAGAGAAAAATAAAGGGGAAAGTGGGTGAAATAGACCCAAAAGCTAACCGCTATAAATTAAAATAAGGTTAAATCTTACTTAAACTGAAAAGAATAGATAAATCCGTGGTTGAAAACTAAGAAACTTGATTCGTCGTGGTTGTTGGTTATGCTTAAGGCACAAACATGCCGTGAGACTTAGAGATCTGTTAAATGGAAGTGAGAGAGAATGGAAGGGAGTGTGAGAAAAAGGATGTCACCGATTACAGCGATAAAAGATCGACCACAATGACCAAACTTCGAAAGTTGCTTGATAGAGATTGATCAACAACTGAATCCCGCAACGATGAGAACTAAGAAATGAACAAAGAAAAACAATAAGATAGGGGAGGAATGTTGGCACGCACTAAAAAATCAAAACATTGGGAGAAACAAAAGCAAATAAAAAAAAAAAAATCAAATAATGATAAATGTTAGTTTCCGTTTGATCGTTGTGCCAAAATTCTTACCAAAGTAAGAATAATACATAGGTATAACTATAACTATATATATATATATATATATATATATATATATATATATATATACATATTATAAGTTATAACGGTTGAATCTGGACCGGTCTAGTCTTGTACTACCCTAATCCGGGACCAAACAAAAAATTCACGGTTTTATTATTTTTAAACCGTGACCAGACCGAACCGCTATGGAACCAGCCTAGACCGCCCGATTCGGTCTGGTCCGATTTGACGTTTCAGATTGATATTTTTTTGCACACCCCTGGGTGAAAGAGGAAAATAATATTTTTCATTTTTCACTAAAAATTTAAAGGGTAAAGTACAGTCACACCTCCTGAGGTTTGGAAAAAGAACACTCAGATGAAACTTATCTGTTTTTTGGACAAAGACATCCCCTGAAGGTTCAAAAATGGACAAAGACACCCCTTTACATGAGAAATTGACCAAATTACCCATTTGACCGTTTATGAGACTTTTTTAACTTTACAATTTAATAAATTGGACTAATCTACCATCACAAACAATTTATGCATAAAAAAAAATAAAAAAAAAAAAAAACTTTATATTGTTCACTTTTTTTTTTTTTTTTTAATGTTATTTACTTTATAAATGTCCCAACTTCTTAAACATGTAAACGTGTAAAATGATTTTTTGATCCAATACATATATTTCAAATAAATTATATTTTGTTATTACTTCTTTTATTTTTCTTTTTACTTTTAAATTAAGATGCTTAATTATTTCCTCTAAAAAAATTAAACCAATCTCTTTTATTTAAAAATAAAAAATATGGTACCAGTATAACTTTATGTATACTAAATTATATATCAAATATTATGCATTTTCCAACATAAAAGGGAATAAAATAATAATAATAAAATAAAGGCATGCATAAAGTTAAGATGCATAAAGTTAAGATAGTACCTATTTTCTTTTATGTTGGAAAATGCATAATATTTGATATATAATTTAAGATGCATAAAGTTATACTGATATCATATTTTTTATTTTTAAAGAAAAGAGATTGGTTTAATTTTTTTAGATGAAATAATTAAGTATCTTAATTTAAAAATAAAAAAGAAAAAGAAAAGAAGTAATAACAAAATATAATTTATTTGAAATATATGTATTGAATAAAAAAATCATTTTAGACATCTACATTTTTAAGAAGTTGGGATATTTATAAAGTAAATAACAAAAAAAAGTGAACATTATAAATTTTTTTTTTTTACTTTTTTTATGCATAAATTATTCACGAGGGTAGATTGGTTCAATTTATTAAATTGTAAAGTCAAAAAAGTTTCCTAAATGGTCAAAGGGTAATTTGGTCAAATTTTCACATGAAGGGGTGTCTTTGTCAATTTTTGAACCTTTGTCCAAAAAATAGGTAAGTTTTTTTTGGGTGTTCTTTTGCCAAACCTTAGGAGATATAATTGTACTTTACTCAAATTTTAAAAGATAGAGCCCGTGGTGACTTTTTTTAATTGGGTTAATTCCACCTACACCTCCTGAACTTTGCCAATATTCCACACACCCCCTCTACGTTTTATAATTCCACCTACACTCCCTGTCAGTAACCGCGGTTTAATTTACCAACAGAAATATGTGATTTTACTATTTTACCCTTGAATTATATATTAAAATTTATAACTTAAATAAAAAAGACTTTTACACCCTCCCTTTTAACACTATTAAATTTCTCTGTCTACTCTCACGCACACATATATTATACACACTATATATATATAGATATAGATATATATATATATTCTCCTTTGTGTTTCACTATTGCCGGCAACGAAGGAACTGGGTGAAGCGACCTCGACCTACCATCACCACGGCCAACCACCAACAACCATGTACATATACGCAGGTACATATACACACAGATACATAAATACGCAGACACATATACATTATACACACAGGCCTCAAGTTGTTAATCCACCTCCAATCTGCGGTGATCTTCCCACACCTTTGCAAACTTGTAAATATAATTAAGTACCGCACATCATCAAATTAAACACAATTAATTAATTAATTAATTGTCGCAGTAGTGGACTCACTAAAGAATTATTCGATGAATCAACGGAAGAGAAATAGATATATATATATATATACACACACACTAGCCTGTTTGGGACAAAACTCCAGCAGTCATGACCATACTTGGTTATGTAACGCAAGAGCTTCTCGTCTTCCTCTCGAGACCACAAACCTTTCCTTAGCTTCTGTTTGTAACAACACGAGTGTCTTCCCATTTTGGAAGGAAGACCCACCACTGCCCTACTCTGCTAATTCAAGCAGATATTATTCCCACCTCACTTAGCAAATTACAACTTCTCTCCATTTTTTTTTTTTTTTTTTTTTTTTTAATTTGGTTGCAATCTGACAGTAATGGGAAAGAAAGAGTCTGAATTGTTTTTTGCTTTCTTGTAGGAGCGTTATGCTTGAAAAAATATAGGCACAGAGAGAGAGATTTTGATAGAGAAGGCTGGGAAAATGAAGTAGCAGCTGAGAGATTGAGGAAGTTGAATTATAATACAAGAGAAAAAGTCACTATAACTTCGCAGGAGCGTTTTGGTTAAGGTGGGAAACAGCTTAGGCGAGACCACCAACGTGCAGTGAACAAAACACGATGCTTCGCCGGACTGAACTGAGCTTCACCGGACTTGGGATCGCCGGACTGAACTGGGTCGAAGTAGCTGTGAACTTTGCCTCCGTCGTCTTTGATCTGTCTTACCTCGTTCTTGTCTAGCGTTATGATCCAGCGTTTGGACTGAACTAAGGGTTCCTCCTATTTCAGTCCGGCGAGCAGCGATTCCTCAACGCACCTCGGTGAAACCCAATTCAAAACAGCCACAGACATGCCAGAGCTCTGTAGATGTATTCGGCCTAGCTCTGTGACTTAGTCAGCATTGTCAAAACTGTAAGTTTCACCGGCTTTGTCACAGTCCACCTCATGTTGGTCATTTCATTCCATCAAACAGTCTCGTCCGCGTCCGCGTCCTCTATTGAAGCATGGCCGCCGTCCTCTTCACCGTAGTTTAGTAGCTTCATCGCCTGTCAGTTCAGTCTCACCGTTTCTGGCCGGTAAAACAGCTTTGTCGTCGGTCCTTGCTGGTAAATTCTGTGGCTGTAATTCCCGTTTTGCATCGCCTAGTCATCCTTGCACACCTTTCAGACTTGTTTGGTCACCATCTTTTGGTGCTTGGATTAATATTGTGGGTTCAATTCCGGCGACTTACAAAGTTGAAGCGGGAAATGGGGTGTTCTGGGTTCTGTGTTATGAGTTGTATTTATAAGTTAAGGGTAATTTTGTAAATTTGTATTGGTTAATGAGATTAAAAATGTCATTTCAAGTATTGAAATGGCAAAATTGACTTTTTACCAATTTGTTCATGCTAACACCGTCAGTTACTTAACAACAACAAATAATATGTTACATAAACCAAAACCTTAATGAAAATAGGTGAAATTGTGAAACGTAAAAAAACGTGTAAGTATAATATAAATAAATGTCATAGATGGAATTAACCCTTTTTGATTTTTGTCCTTAATTGTACAATTTACCACATTAAAAAAATACAGTAGGAAATGAGGGCATTAGACCAAATTCCCACGTCGATAAGAAGAAGAGTTTTATTAGAGTTAATATAAGCGGAGGTGGCAGTTTAACGGTGTCCCTTCGGCGACATCCGCAAGGATGACACGCAGAAATCGAGAAATGGACCAAATTTTTCTTGACCTTTTTGCCCTCCACCAATGGGTTCTCTTTTACTGAATTGCCCTGCTAAGTTCCCTGCTTTCCCATAGTACCCCTGCTGTGTTGCTACGTGTCGTTCTTATATTATGATGCTCACCATTTTCTTACGGTACTCTCTCTGTCTCTCTGCAACTTCCTGCGTTCCGTTGGAACTGGGTTGTAATTTTTGCCTAACTTCATCTCATTTTCATCAGGTGGTTGGAAATCTCCAATTTGGTGATCGGAAATCTCCAATTTGAGGTTAGCGTGGAGTTATTTTATTATATTTACCCTTTTCCTTCGCTCTCTTTGGGATTTTTTCTGAGGATGATGATAACTCCTTGATTTTTTTTTTAACGGAAATTGAGTCCTCGGATATAGTTGTTCTCTTTTATCTTTCTTTCTCATGTTGTACAACATATTTCGCGGTTAATTTTCCTAAATATGGATTATCTGTTGTTTATGTTTGTGTATATATCATATATATTTGTGCGTTGCTCTCAAGTTTCAATTATTGCTCAATCTGCGGAATATAACACTATTTCTGAGTTGTTTGAAGATAGAAGCAGTGGATCTTTCTCTTTTTCTTTTTGCTTCGAGTTTTCTCAGCATCCCAAAATAGCCCCATTTTCATATTAAAAAGAAAAATAAAAAAATCAAGGATCGTTTTCTCGACCATGGCTTGTAATAGACATCCTGGTATGCTGCTAGGTATATAATACTTTCTCCTCAAGTAGAGCACCCACGTAAACAAACTCCGTTATTCAAAATATTTGCAAGTTCTATTATCTTTTGGGTTCTAAGAGAATGATATTCTATTTAATTGACGGTTTGAGTTGACAAATTCTGGTTATGACAAGAAAAAGTTGATAAGTTCTGCTTGTGTCTTACTTCTAGTTTCCAAACTGTTTTGCTATTCTAGCAAGTAAGTACTCTTCGTGCATTTTTTTTTTATCTTCCTTGACAATTTGACAGAAGAATTAATGGTGATTTCATTTTGTGACAATAATTTCACATGTGTTATTTCTAATTTGGTAGGAGTTTCTATTATATCTTTTTTGTTACTCTTGTGTTGTGAGGTTGTTTTTTTTTTTTTTTAATTTTTTTTAATTTTTTATTTTATAAAACTTTTTGGATGATGTTTGGTTAAATCGGAAGTTTAAGTAGAGTATTTCATACAAACCAAAACTCCAATTTGGTTCATACTAGTTTTCATAAATTTTGTCAACTTTTGTTATTACTGCAGCGGTAGAATTTCAGATTTATAACATATGTCCAAAATGTTTTCGTTCCTTAAATTTAACTCAACCATTCATTAATATATCTCTTTTTATTTTTGAATTTATGTAGTTTATAGAATAAGGAAGTGTTATGGCCTATTCCAGATAGTTTTCAGTTCTTCATTTTAGCACAGTTGACTGATCCAATGCTAGCAGCTAAGGCTTCGTATCAAATTTCATGGTGGAGGTCTTGCTTGCCCCTTACATTTGTTCCAATATTGTCAATTTTGGAGGAGCCTATTGTTTCTGATAAGTTGTTGAGTGTTGGGGTCAACACACTTCAGAGATTCTGCTTGCATGCTTTTACGGGCAGTGTGAATGAAATGGCACTTGAAGGGAGGAGGCGTTGCTTATATAAAAGTAGGAAGTAAGTGCACTGTTCACATTTGCAAATCTGAATCCCTTGATTAAATTCTTCTTGGAAATCTTTTCTGGAACTTGTCAGAATAGTTCATTCTATAATTCTCAAATTCTTTTTTTTTTTTTCATTGTTACCATTTGCGTTCTCAACTGAGATATCATGAACAGGCCAAACCAAAATGGAACATTCAGTCATTCTTGTTTTACAATCTAACTCTTGTACCTGTGTGTTTCTCCATTTTAATAATTACTTGCTTTTGTAAGGATGTTGCAATCTATGTTACATTGTTTAGATATCCTTTCTTTTCATTGTAGGTTTAGTTTGATAGGCATGCATTTAGTTTTTCTTTAATTTGGGTGCAATTATTCACAGCAATGCTTTCATGTAGTGCTAACCAATAACCGTTACCTCAGTGTAAATTATGAAATTTGATCGGGATAAAAAGTTATATAGACAGTTTTATTTTTTAACCTTCACTCTCTATAGAGAAAGGAAAGAAGATCTCTCTCGCTCTCTCTCTCTCTCTATATATAGATATAAAGATCTTACGAATTGAGAAAAGGGTATGCTTTTCATGATGCATTTCATCAAATCTATTAATTAAAGCTGGTGATTGCTGCGTTGTGATTTGAAAGCTGAACATGTAGCTGTGATAAATGCATTGAGGAATTGCTTGTTCCTGATAAGAAGGTTTGTTTAATTTGGTCTTCATGGATGGATTGTTGGGATCATATGCTTTCAGTCTTGTAGGCCCTCTTAATGATCCTCATTGCTAAGGGGCGGTGCATAAGTTTATGGTCAGATAATGAAGTAATTTTTTTTTTTTTTTTGTTGTGTGTGTGGGGTGGGTTGTTCATTGTGGGTGGAAAGGTTTTCACCTGATTGATGATGGAGAAGGGGTTTGTTGTTCAGCTCATTGAATGTGGGTTAGGGATGGTGAAGCCTTTGTCTGCATTTGAGCTCCAATGGCTTTGCAACTGCCTGGAGGAAGCATCAACGGCAGGTGGATTGCTCGTGTTTTTGAGAAGCTGCAACATGCTGTTTTAATAAATGTTGTCAAATTCTGGTTGTGACTAGAAAAACTTGACAAATTCTTGTTATTAAATCAATTATAGAAACATGTCAATTAAATCTTTTTTACATTGTAAGGAATTTTGCCTTATTTTGATGAGCGTTTTACATTAGCATTTTATTGTAATTTTAAGGTATTGTCTTGTAGTATGGACTGTGGGTGGGTGTGTAACATAATCGATCCATCAGATGCTATGCTAATCTGTTTTTTGATAAGTCAGATGCCATGCTAATCTCAAATATGATTATGTTTTGTTTTATGTTTTCAAGTATTTTTTTATGAGTTTCTAGTTCTTTTAACCATTTCCATTGTGTTTTCTAAACATTCCCCTGATGTTCTGTTTCCGAGTTGACCAAAATGGCAAGACTCAAATGAAATTTAGTTCCTTATTTGTGTTATCTTGTCGTGTTTCTTAGTTACAATAAAACTACAATATTGTCTTTTGCAGTGATGAGTATACAAGAGAGGCATCTCTATGGAGAAGACAGAGACAGAGTGTGTCCCAGGGACATTTCTTATACCGAGCACTTGGTGTGGTTGGAACGCTCCCTGATGCATCCTTACACATTCCATATCGTCATTATAGTTCTTGGTGCAATGATAATTTCACAAGGGATAAGGTGCATTGTAGTTTAAATTATCACTGATTACTTTTCTTCTAATTGTTGGATGATTGTGTTCAATTCTTGCTAGTGATAAATTATGAAAAAAAAATAATAAAAAAAAAAATAAATAAATAAATTCTTGCTAGTGATAGAAGTATCTAGCAAATTCATATTGATCCAAATGTATAATTAGTTGGCCAGAGCTTTAACTTGTATAGAAATTTTACCTACTTTAAATTATTTAACATCAACCTTTAGATACCTTATTTTGTGCACAATATTCAAGGTTTGTTTGTTATCTTTTTCTGAATAGGAGCTGTGTGATCTAGTTTTATATTATATAATTGCAGTTCATGAGAACTATACCAGAATTTGTGAAAATTGTGGAAGTTGGTCCAAGGGATGGACTGCAAAATGAGAAGGAAATTGTACCTACTGCTGTGAAGGTTGAGTTGATAAAGATGCTAGTTTCTTCAGGGTTGCCTGTTGTCGAGGCTACTAGTTTCGTCTCACCAAAATGGGTACCACAGGTAAATTATGTAAATTTTTATTTATTTATTTTATTTATATTTTTTGCTTTGTTGTGTGAGATTAACATTTTTGCCAAGTCTTTTGCTTTTGTGTGTATGTTTTTAAAGAATTTCTTGCTATTCAATTTAATATTTCAATCCATATTGATTGCCCTTAATATCTCAGCTTTCTTATCTAAGAGGTTTTCTAATTTTATTTTTATGAACCCATTTTGTCCTCGATAAATGCACAAATACTTACATTCGAGAAGATTTTGCTGAAAGACGACCTTTCTTGGGAAGTTGAAAGACAACTTAGTTAGACAGGGTAATTATTTATTATTATTTTTTTAATTTTTTTTTTTTCTGTCTAATTTGTGTTGTATGTGCAAAAGAAGTGGAAGAGACCGTGGACCAAGTTCTTATTTGTCCTTATTGTTGTAACTTTTTGGAGTTTGCTGGGTGTCCCCTAAGTTAGTGTTCTATTTTCAATGATTGGCAAATTGGGCAGATTGGTGGAAAGAGGTGTTCAACATGGAAAGCAACTGTTCAGAAAGAGAACATGATTTCGACATACGTTCCTCTAAATAGTAAATCATCTTAATCTTTCTTATTGAGAAGCTTGTTCAACAACCTTTACCCCCTCTATTCCCGGCTCTTTAATCAGTTACTTTGCATTATGTGATGCATTTAGGAGGAGAGAAGTGCCATTCATTGGATGGAATGAAATTACCAGATTATAAGTTCAAAATAAAATCTGGAGTTTATTGTTTAGCTGGTCCACGGGAGAGGGAATCCCTCACCTTGCTCTGTTTAGATTTTATAGATAATCTGTGTACTTGTGTTTGTTTATAGCATCCTTGTGTAAGAGGTGCTTTTGTAACTTCATATGTACTTAAGAGTTGGATCCCTGTTGGTGCTTCTTAAGGAATTCTATTATTAAAAAACAAAAATACAGTTGTCCCTTGGGTTTATCTAAATTAGAACCTGCTCAGATAACTTCATTATTAAAATTGCAGCTATCAGATGGAAAGGATGTCATCAAAGCAGTTCAGAGTGTTGAAGGCTCTAGGTTTCCTGTTTTAACACCTAATGTCAAGGTAAGCTGTCTTTTATGAATAAGAATGAGATAGCAAAGCAATGTTAAATATCTGGATGGGGTTGTTTGTATTTGGTTTTGCTATATTCAGGGTTTTGAGGCGGCTGTTGCAGCTGGAGCTAAGGAAGTGGCCATCTTTGCTGCAGCTTCTGAGTCATTTTCAAGGTCAAACATAAATTGTAGTATTGAAGATAGTCTTGCTCGCTATCGTGATGTTGCTCTTGCTGCTAGAAATCTCTCAATTCCTGTACGTGGGTATGTCATCTAACTCGTTGCAAAATTACTCCTATTCTCCTAGAAATATAGTAAGCATTTTTGTTTCATGGTTTCACCTATGCTATTTTCTACTAAATCTTGTGTTTTAGTATTGGGTCATCTGAAAATATCACTCCTCAAGAATTAGGCTTTGAATTTCTCTGAAGATCCACTATTCCTTGAATATTTGACCTAATTGAAAAATGAAACTCAAAATCATAAAAGGTGGTTTCATAACTTACTCAGATGTTAACAATTTTAACTTGGAAGGACAATTTAATTTTTTTTTTGTTGAGTCGTAGAAAAATGGTTACTGCTGCTGTCATGATGTGATGATAGATGGCATATTAATGATATCTGGAAGTTGCAAATTAATGTTGTGCTGCTTTTTGCGCTTCGTAATAAATTTTAATCTTAGGGCCATTGCGTTCTCTGACTTATACTATTTATCTTTCCCTTTTTTTCTTATAGCTCTTGCTTTAAGGAGCTTTATTATTATGTCTTCCTTTCTTCTTTTTATTTTTATTTTTTTTGGCAATGCCTTATGTTTTCTTCGAGGTTTGAAATGGTATATTAACTTCTTAATATAGAGTTACTAAAGTTGATGAAATTACTGCCTTTTCCTTCCAAAGATTTTTTTTTTTTTTTTTTGGGTAAATTGGCATGAATTTTCGATTTAGACTTTTGCCTTTAAATCTAAGAATAAACATTTGGGATTTTGAGTCACTTCTGAGCATTATTGCTGCACTTATAGAGCTGTGGGCAAGGTTAGTTTTCTTGAACTATGCACTTGTATCCTGAAATACATGGAGTTGGTTTTACTTCGAAGGAGCTACTATTATTGCAGGGCTTGGGGATTCTTTTAGTCAATTGAAGTTCAACTGTTTTTTACTTTCCAAAAAGGAGAAAATGAACTCTTTTGCCTCTTACTAAGAAGAGGATTACTTATAGTCAGCTTATTCTCTTTACATAATTTCTGGTGCTCATTTGACAATATATTTATTGGGATGCCAAAAGTAAACGATTTTTAGGTATCCATCTAAAGTATCTTGCTTTTTGATCAGTTATGCTTTAAAGATGACCACTAAATGCAATTACTTTTGTAGCCCCCAATTATGAAAAAATAAAAATTAAATTAAGAATTGATTGGCATACCATGTTTTTGAAAAATCCCTACCCAAAGAGGCTTTTGAAACCGTGCACTTCTTGATTTAGTGGAACAACATTGAATTGGACTCTATTATCGTCTATGGACTATGCTACAGATGCATATTAAATTGCTCACGTCCTTGGATACTGCTGAAACCTTGCCCCCCAGTTTCAACGGTGCATACACAGCCAAGCAGCAGCTGCTCTGCCAAGTTTCCCTCTTACACTGTTTTCAACTTTGCATTTCTGTTGTTACTCTTATATTGTTGGATATGCGTCGTAATTTTGACATTTGATGCTTGTATTGCTTCTGTGGACAACAGTGGAAGGCAGATATTTAACTTAACAATTAGCAAAGGTTGGTATCACATAATCTTATGTGCTTCCGAGTTCCGTAGTGAAGCTGATGGTCTTTTTAACTATCTTTATGTGGATCATTTTAACGATGTTCTGTTCTTGCGAATTCTATCTGATAAATCCCCAAAACACTGATATAGAAAACTCTTCTCTTGATGTGAAGAGGTTGCCTTAGACATTAGTTATAACGAGTTACTTTAACACCTTTCTCCAACAGAGTGTTATCTATGATATTTTTTCCCTCAAATCTGTCCAGTAGAAAGGACAGGGAACAGCTGCTCTTTCTTTTATTGATTATCCAAACTTCTATTTCTTACCACTTGGATGTTCAGATCTATACTTATAGCCTCTTACTAACATGCAATGGATCTCATTGAGATAGGATACATGTTAACGTCACCAAATTGAGCAAACGTGGCCTTAAACCCTTGCAATATTGCTATAACAAAGCTCTCACTTAATTTTTGCTTATACATTATTGTGCCTGTCTTACGTTGAATTTATAGTTTGTTTACTATGTTGTAATCTCATTTAATGGTGTATATTGTTGCGTATTCTCCAGCATATCAATAGAAATTGAAAGTCCTGAGTAAACTCTTTTCAATGGATTAGTCTGCTGTGTCCATGCTACTTTAATTTTTGCTCAGAATTGTTGCTATATCTGTGGCTTAGACCCCACATTAGTGTTGTAGTCCATAACAACCGGTTGGAATTCTCTCCTACTAATTCTTTGTTGATTCATTCAAATAGTTTTAGATTTAGGCTATGTTGCCTGGATTCGGTACTTTGACCTAGAGTGCCAGTGTCGACTTGACAAAACACCAGCATGGGGGCGGGACACTGGTATGACACGGATGGAGAAGAGGGATGCCTTTCGTCAATCAAGCAGCTAGGAGCAGAGTTTTATACCTCTACAGCAGCACAATTTGTAAACTAAGAGAGAAGGAAAAGAACTCATAAAGGAAGGCAGCAGTCTTTATGTTTTTTTAATAAGTTCAAAAAGTTATAATTGCATTTTTGTTCCCAAATTTTTATAATTCTTCAAAATACCTAAAAATAATACTTTTCCTTACATTAATCCAATATTTTATGTTCTTTTTCAAATTTTCTTACTTTTATTTCAACATTTTGAACACTACAACAATTATTTCAAGAACTCTTTGATGCATTATCCATGTCCACCGTATTCAAAATTTTGATGATTAGAAGGATCTAACACCTTGACCCACACCCGTGTCCAACACCCGTACTCAAGTCCTGGCATCATAGCATTTAGGAATAGCTTAGAGATGAACTTGATGATCCGGCTGGCTGTTTTTAGTCCCTTACATTTTTCTCTCTTGTTAAATGTTCCTTTATTAACTTTATTGTTTTTATATTTTAATCTACGTTCTTGGTACTGTATGATTTGGTATCATCAAGTAATCCTCATATGTCAGGGAATCAATTGAGTGCTGATCACCTTGTATCTATACAGATGTTGTGCTGCTTTATTTTAGAATTATAATTATAATTTATTGCTTGTCATTTTTAGTTAAAAAAAAATGTCACTGTATGAGCAAATTATTTATCCCTCACAACTTGTTAAATAATAGTATGTAATTTTGTTAGATACATATCATGTGTTGTGGGGTGTCCAGTGGAAGGAGCAGTATCTCCATCAAAAGTAGCGAATGTGGCTAAAGAACTTTATGATATGGGTTGCTATGAAATTTCCCTAGGTGATACCATCGGGGTTGGCACTCCTGGTAATGCTAAAGCTCCTTTCTTATTACTTATTTAATTTCAACTGTTTTAAATTTCTTGATTAGACCATTCATTTCTTACATGTGACTTGGGTATCTGGACCATGAAATCGTTGCTGAAAATATAAATCACTGTAATGATGATGCTTCATGTAGCACAGATCTGAGGTGTACTTTATTTTTTATTTTTTTAAATTGCTATTACATTTCCACTCAAAGTACTAGTTTTGAAACTCATATTTGTCGTCTGCTTTGTATAGTGGTTTGGATATGAGTGCTGACTGCACCTTTGTATTTCAAGGTGTTACTCATTGGAACTTTGTTTTATGATGAAAGAACCTATGTTACCTCCACTTGGGTATGTGTTTTGGGTGTGGGTATAAATCTGAGCATGAGATATGTCAAATCCCAAATAGTTTGATACCGGCACATTGCTAAATATTCATATTATTTAATATTTTTCTTTTATTTTCTAGAGCAAAAGAACATTTTTATGCAACACAGTGTTCAAAATAGACATTTACCTCATTTTGAAAGAATAATCTAACAATATTGAAGCTTAGGCAAAATGTGTGCAAGTACTTGTTTGAATATAAATAAATAAATAAATGTGTTGGCCACATATCTCATGCGGTCATACAGTATTCCGTAAGTTGTGTGTTTAGAACGAGGTATTTGACATATGCGTCTTGGGTGTGGGTATAAATCTGAGCAGGAGATATGTCAAATCCCAAATAGTTTGATACCGGCACATTGCTAAATATTCATATTATTTAATATTTTTCTTTTATTTTCTAGAGCAAAAGAACATTATTATGCAACATAGTGTTCAAAATGGACATTTACCTCATTTTGAAAGAATAATCTAACAATATTGAAGCTTAGGCAAAATGTGTGCAAGTACTTGTTTGATTATAAATAAATAAATAAATGTGTTGGACACATATCTCACACGGTCATACAGTATTTCGTAAGTCGTGTGTTCAGAATGAGGTATTTGACGTATTTTTGAAGAGTCCATGTAACATAGGCACGAACTTGGCTACAGTTACTTTCAACATTGTGTGTGCGCACGCGCAAGCGAATGCATGCCTTCTTTGTCTTTGCCTTTGTTTGGGGAAGCATGGGGATGGAGGAGAGAAATTGTCAGGTTACAGCTAGGGTAAAACTTAATTTTCTCAAACTTCTATAATTTTTTTTAGGGGAACTATTTTCTCTCAACTTTAACATTTGTATGATCTTGTCATCCATGTTGGACGTCAAGTTCATACTAGATTGGGAGCTGTCTCATCCATATACATTCCTTGTGATGGCTGTACACGCATTACATAGGAGAGGCATTTTTCCCGATGGACTTGAATAATCATGGGTCTCACGTGAGTTATCAACAGGTGTAACAATGAGAGAATTTAACACTATTTTCCTAGGAGTCAGAGAGACATGAGAAAGTAAGAGATATCGCCCGAGCTACACATCTGGAGTTATTTGGTGCTAGTTTTTATATATTGTTGTATAAATTTTTAGTATTTCACTTGTTTCATTCTATACATGCTTTATTTTTTTCCCTTCGCCCAGGTACCATAATTCCAATGCTTGAAGCTGTTATGGGTGTCGTCCCTGTGGAGAAGCTTGCTGTTCATTTTCATGATACTTATGGGCAAGCTCTTTCCAATATTCTTGCATCACTTCAAGTAAGCCTTCTTTTCATCCAACTTTTACTTACAAAGCCAATTTTTAACATGAAATTGCATTGATTTCCTCAACCCAACTCACTAAAATGAAATCTTTCCGCATGAATCATATTTTTCCAATCTGCTCTATATAAGGTTAGAGCGTCAGTTAAACCACTTCTTACTTTTTATCTTTCTTAACCTTACCAATGTTAATTTTGGTCCTCTCCTTCCCATAACATTACCTTCAATGTAGATTGTAAAAATGGAGATTTGTATATAAAGAGAATAGAGAGAGAGAGAGAGAGAGAGAGAGAGAGAGCGAGAGAGCAGAGTTTGGGGCTCAGCCCATTTTTCCCATAAATTTTTTAACCCTAAAACATAAAGGGGGTTATATACAATACAAGAAAGACCTATTTACATAATGGCCACAAATCCTATATCTAATTACAATAGGACCCCAGCATAAATACATATATACATATAAGTGTTTTAACACTCCCCCTCAAGCTGGAGAATATATATCATATAATCCCAGCTTGGAACAAATCGTTTTTAACCGATTATGACCAAGAGCCTTAGTAAACATATCTGCTAATTGATCTTCGAACTTCACGAATGGAGTAGAAATGTTTCCGCTCAATATTTTCTCTCGAGTGAAGTGACAATCAACTTCAATGTGCTTGGTTCTTTTATGAAACACCGGATTGGATGCGATGTGAATAGCTGCTTGGTTATCACAGAACTGTGGAATAGGAGTCTTGACTATTAACCCAAGTTCTTCAAGAAAATGTTGTATCCACGTTAACTCACTAGAGGTATGGGCCATCGCCCTGTACTCTGCTTCAGCGCTAGTCAGCATCTGTGAAACCTGTTACAATAGCCTGTAGTAGATTTCCTATCTAAGGGAGAACCAGCCTAGTCAGCATCTGTGAAACCTGTTACATTAAGATGACCATTAGGTTTATATAGTAATCCAAAACCTGGAGCTTATTTGAGATATCAAATAATTCGAAGAACAACATTCCAATATGGTACTCTAGGAACACTCATGAACTGACTTACAACACTAACTGCATATGAAATGTCAGGTCGGGTGATAGTGAGATAAATTCATTTCCCAACTAGACGTCGATATCTGCCATGATCGTCAAATAAATCACCCTCATCAGGTAATAATTTTATATTTGGGTCCATAGGAGCATCAGCTGGGCGAGTACCTAATATACCTGTTTCTTTTAACAAGTCCAACACATATTTCCTTTGAGATAGACTTATACCTTCCTTGGATCTAGCAACCTCAATACCCAAGAAATATTTGAGTTTGCCTAGATCCTTTGTGTGAAACTGATTTTGTAAGAACAATTTTAACCTTGCAATGCCGTCAGAATTATCACCTGTTATAACAATATCATCTACATATACCACAAGAAATATAAAGCCAATTTTAGTATGTTGGTGAAATACCGAATGATCTGTCTGGCATCTGTTAAGGCCAAAGGAAAGTACCGCCTCGGAGAATTTTCCAAACCAAGCCCTTGGAGATTGTTTCAATCCGTACAGGGCCTTTTTAAGACAACATATAGCATAACGAGACTCCCCCTGAGCAACAAATCCAGGTGGTTGCTCCATGTAAACCTCTTCATGTAAGTCACCATGTAAGAAAACACTTTTCACATCTAATTGAAACAACGGCCAATTACAATTGGCGGCAATGGAAATAAGGATTCGGATAGAAGAAATCTTCGCAACAGGAGAAAAAGTCTCATCATAATCAATACCATAGGTTTGTGTGTATCCCTTTGCAACAAGGCGAGCCTTCAATCGCTCAACAGATCCATCACGGAGATATTTGACAGTGTAGACCCACTTACAATCAACCGTTTTGGAACCGGGAGGTAAGGGAACAAGGTCCGATGTCCCATTATAATGAAGAGCATCCATTTCATCTATTATGGCTTTGCGCCAAGCTGTATCAAATAGAGCATCCTGCACAGTTTTCGGAACAGCAGTAGCAGATAACGTGGATAAAAAACAAGAAAATGAGGGCGATACCTTTTTATAGGAAACAGAGTTAGATATGCAGTGACACACGAGCAAACACCCTTGCGTAATGCAATAAGAAGATCATCAAGAGCAGGAGGAGCCTCAATGGGGTTGTGGTGGGGGGGGGGGGGGGTGGGGGTTGCTCGTGATCGACGACTAGACACTTGAAGTGGCGGTGGCACATGAGGTGGTTGTGGTGGGTCACAGGGTAATGAATGTGACGCAACAAGCGACGGAAGCAGCAGCTCGGTATCTAAAGATGAACTATGTGAAGAAAAATAAGGAGTATCCTCAAAAAAGATAACGTCCATGCACACAAAAGCATTACGAATGCTAGGATCCCAACATTTATAACCTTTTTGAGTTCGAGAGTATCCAATAAAGACACACTTAATGGCATAAGGAGACAATTTATCAGCACACACCCAAAAACACGAGGCGGCAATGCAAATAACGGTCGAGCATAGTTGTTAAAGGCTCAAGGTGCACAAAATCGCAAATGCCTCCTGGAGCCTGAGGCGCAAGGCGCAGGCGAGGCGTGCGCCCAACTGAAGCAAGGCGCACGTTGAAAAAAAAAAAAAACAAAACCCACCCAATAAAGTATTAAAGATGCAATAGTATATATAAAGATGTAAAAGTCAACTAAATGAATTATTTCTTGCAAAAAACACATGGATGATGGATGTGCTATTATTATTTAACTTGTCAAATCAAATCTAATTTTCATTAAGTACGAATAAAACGTTTTTGCAAGCTGCAAGCACCATGTTTGGATGCATTCAAGGATGTGATATATTTTCAAATCAAATCAATTTAATTTTCTATAAGCACCATGGTTGATTCTATTTTTCATTTTTGGATAAGTGATTTAACAACTAAACATTCTTTCAATAATAGAACCTAATTATATGAAAATAATATAACAGTAAATCTTACATGAGTAATTATTTCATTTTAACAATTTCATTTTAACAAAATTATTTCACTTTAACAATTTCATTTTAACAAAATTATTTCATTTTAACAGTAAGTGAGCTATTTACAATTTGAGATTGTCTTCTATAATTATTTTAGAGTACACTTCACTAATTTCTTGCAATTATGAAGGAGCATTATTAAATTCTGGTAGCACAATGATATAGCGGGGCCTATACTCAAATATTTTAGCAAAATATGAACACCTTTTAAAAATCACAAAGCATCCAACATCTACATCGATTAAAGCAGGTTATAAGTCCTATGACATATCCAAAATTTGGTGCCTTATTTTCATGGTTGGTAAAACAGTATCCATTTTACAATAATATGTCGGCAATGATAAATACTTGATTTACTGGGAAAATAATAAAATAATAAAATAAATGTGGACATTGATGTAACTCAATTAAATTTATATACGTGCAAAAAAATAAAAATAAAAAGATAAAAATAAATAAAAAAATAAAAAGAAGAAGAAAAAAAAAAAAAACTGCTAGACTCCACTCTCAAGAGAGCCGAGACTCTAGAGAGGAAGAAGAAAAGAAGAAGAAGAAGAAAAGAAGAAAAAAAAAATCCGAGAAGAGAGGAGGAGAGAAGAAGAAGAGAAGAAGGAAAGAAGAAGAAAAGGAGAAGAAAAAGAAGAGAGAAGGAGAACTTACCTGATCCAACGCAAATCTGAGAGATCCGATGCTTTTTGGTGCCTTCGCTGCCTCTATCTTCGCTGCCTCTGTCTTCTACTTTTCTTTCCTTTGCTTTTTTATGTTTTTTATGTAGGCTTTTGTCTTATATTAAGTTATATTAACTAATAAAATATCATAATAGAAATAATAATAATAATAAACAAACGAAACTTTTTAAACAAACAAACAATAAACAAAACAAAGAAGTAAAAAACAACTTTTTACCTCAGGCGCGCCTTTCCAGCGCCTGTTGCCTGGCGCCTTGGTCGGAAAGGCGCACGCCTTTATTAAGAGAGTCGCCGTAAGTGTATCAAGGCGACAACATGGCGCCTGGAGGCTCCTTGCGCCTCAAGCGCGCGCCTCCGGCGCCTTTAACAACTATGCGGTCGAGTAGGAAAAACAAAGAAATAAGGACATTTCCAATTAAGAACGGAAGATGGCATACAATTAATTAAATAACAAGCAGTTAAAACAGCATCGCCCCAAAATGCTTTTGGAAGATGCATATGTATCATCAATGTTCGAATTATTTCAATTAAATGCCTATTTTTCCGTTCGGCTACGCCATTTTGTTGAGGAGTATAAGAACAAGAAGTTTGGTGCAAAATACCACGAGAGTCGCAAAAACTAGAAATAGCACCTTTGACATATTCCATAGCATTATCAGATTGTAAAGGGCGTGTAACACACCCAAATTGGACCTCAATTTCTTTTAAAAATATTTGAAATATGGAAAAAAGTTCAGAACGGTCTTTCATTAAAAACAACCAAGTCATCCTTGAATAATCATCAACAAAGGTAACAAAATAAGAAAAACCTGAGTGACTAGTGTGACGAGCAGGACCCCAAATGTCCGTATGCACTAATTCAAATAAAGAAGATCGACGATTAATGATATGAGGAGGGAAAGGCACTCTATGGTGCTTACCCAACTGACAAGACTCACAATTAAAGTAGACACCGACTCAAGGAAAGGCAAAGCAGACTTCAAATACAGCAACAAGGGATGACCTAATCGATAATGCCACTGGTACACAGACATCTGGGAATGTAAAGCAACAGTGGAAGGTTTGTAATCCAAATAGTATAGGCAATTTCTGTTACTGCCCCCATCAATCGTCTGTTTCGTGTTGAGGGTCTGAAAGACACAAGACGAAGGATAAAATGTGACAAAACAGTTCAGAGCTTGAGTCAATTTACTTACAGATAATAAATTAAAGGGAAAATTTGGAACTAATTGCACAGAGGATAAAGAAATGGGTGGGGTTAATTTAATTGTTCCCTGGCCAATAATGGAACATGTTCTACCATCAGCCA